CTTTTAGCTTTTTTTAGCTATTACAAAACAAATTGCAAATACAATACTTATTTTTTGTTGCTAATTGCTAAAAAAATTCACTCATTTCTCCATCTGATAATTCTAACTTGTTTCATCTACATTTAGCTTCTTTTTGCTCATTTTAACTACTTTTTTTCTCTTTTCAGGTTTTTTAAACTTGTTTTTTGTGATGTTTCTATGGATTTTTTACTTTTGTTCAGCTGTTAAAATTGAACTCACATTAACAGTTTTGCTATTTTCAGCTTCTTCTGCAGTTTTCAGCTAAATCTTTGGGCATCAAGCGTTCACACTGCATTTTCACAGGAAATGCTACTTTTCTAAACATGTTTAGCAAACATGTGACTGTGTGTGTGTGTGTGCGCGTGTGTGGTGGGTTTGTTTCTGGTGACATTTGGGGGCAATTTTAAGACAAAAATCCTACATTTGGGGACAACTGGTGCATTTGGGGACAAAAGTGGAGCCCCCATTTGGTTTAAATGTCATTGGTGGGTTGGGGGTTGGGTTAGGACCAATGTCTGAATTGAGTTTAGGTTAGTTGTAGGGTCAGGTAGGTACCTGTGAGGTTAGTTTAAGGGTAAATAGTCAGAGTTAGGCTATAAAATTACCAGAAATTTAATGGAAGTCAATCCATGGTCCCGACGGGGATATAAAACCAAACCTGTGTGTGTGTTTACCTTTGTCTGGACCATTCCTGGCCTCTGGTCCCGCAGGTGCTCCAGAGAAGCAGCAATATCAATCTCCTTGGCACCTGTCACACACAGAAAAACAAAGGCAGAGAAAAGACAAACGATGCTGGATTAGACCGAAAGCAGCAACCAGATAATCCAGCTCTAATCTGTCAACAGGGCGTTTTCTACTTTTTTCTTTCAAAGCCAATAGTGCTATAGTTATTGCAGGAACACGAGGAGTTGATCTCAAAGCTTTGTTTTTCATCAATTATTATAAAAATCTGTTTGAGTAAATATTAGGATGTCAGGAAAACATGCGATGTGTGTTAACACAGATTATTACTGGGATGATACGACGTGTGATAGATGAACAAACTCTTAATYCATTCTTTCAAAAAAACATTTTCATTTCAGGATTGATTTAATTCACATGTCTGCAATCAATACATTGTGAAATCATCTGCCCATCTAACACAATGACTGTTGGATGGGCAGATTGATTCACATCGATCATATGACGACAATATGGATCGATATTTTCATTTTGCCTCAATATAACTGAATCATGAACCATTCAAATCAATATATCGATATAGATCGATGTATCGTTACACCTCTAGTCATGAATGCAATTTGTAATTCAACACGTTACAGAAACGTAGTGGAGTAGAAAGTACAGATACTTCATGCAAAATGCAGTGGAGTAAAAAAAAAGTACCCATGATGAAATCTACTCAAGTACAGAAACATGAAAAATGTACTTAAGTATAGCAACAAAATACTTGTACTTTGTTACAGCCCACCACTGACATTTTCCATATCGTGCAGCCCTACTACATCTAACACATGTTTGAGTTTAGCAGGATAACCACAGAACCACCTGAGCTCACAGACGTTTTCTTAGAATATTGTTAGAATAAATAAGTTTTTATCTTGTGTGTGTTCGATGTTAGAAAGTTTGGGGAAAAAACAAATCCCATCCAGCTTTGCTCAGCTCGCCTRGTCGGCAGGTGAAGAGGTCCAAAACATTTTGAAAAGGACGAGGCAGGCTGTCAATCACAGGGAGAAACCCAGACAGGATGATCAGCAGCTGACAAACACACACGTTGTGTCATTCATCCTGCTGGACAGATCACCGGGGGCTCCGCGCTCATGCTGGATGCTGTAACCACATCCTGTCACRTCAGTGGAGACAGAAATATAGTGAAGGACCCCTCACACCCTGGATACAAATATCTGCAGCTGCTGCGTGTTTTAACACCAGACATCCAGACTCAAACTGAGGTTTTCTCCTGCAGATAATCTCCTCCAGGCTGCAGTGACTCTGGATGATTATTACAGCATCTAAGCAACATTTTTTCTTTGCTCATGTCATTTTAATTCGTATAAAGCTTGTGGGATTGTGTCTTAATGCAGCAGATGGAACAGGAAGCTCTCCAAGAAACACTCTGTGCATTTAGTTGTTGATTTAATGAAAGTTTTAAGACTTTACAGCAGAGGTATGGAGGACCGACACTGACAAAGTTTAAAGTTTAGTTTAAAACAAAGACAGGAGGAAAACACTCACCTGTGCCTCTGTTTTTAAACTAAACTTTAAGCTAAAATGAGGCACAAACATGTACAGTAGATCTGCACATGGATCCTGCTACTTCCTGTCTGTTGACCAATAGGAGAGGAGCTGACCCAATAAGCCCCACCCACCGTATGTGCATAATGAGGCAAAAATGCATAAGGTAAAAATAAAACAGGAGACAGAGAAATGTAATGCAACACATGGAAATAAAAAGACTTGTGGGAAAAAATATAAAAAAATATTAAATATAATCATTTATGTAAAATGTAAATTATGTGGTATAATATATAATTCATTATAACTAAGCTGGAAAAATAAATATGAAAGTCAATTAAATGATAAAACATGAGGTAAAATTATCCTTTTTTAATTTAATTGGTGCATTTTAAGTGCATTTATTTATTTATTGGTCCATTTCTATATAGGGAATAATCTGGAAAATGACTATAAAACATTGGATCAGTTAATTCCTTTAAGGAACAAACAAACAATCAAAGAAAAAATGTTAAAGAAACATGCATTTGTTTAATTTGTATTAATTACTGTTTGAGGAGTTGAAATTTTAGTTTTTTTGATTATTTGGTTTATTATTGTTTCACATATTTTTTTAAAAAAA